CAATAGTAGTAGTACGCCAGTTCACGCCTATGCCTAAGTTAGTATAAGTACTAGTATAAGTACAATTATCCATTCTTTTATGTACTGGATAGACATCAGAATCATCCGTAGAATCATCGGTAACGAATCGGAGTCGAGCGACGGACTCGACACTCCTCGTGCAATGATCGACGTGTCGTTGATCAATTAATTAACAGTCGAATCTGTAGTGGATTAATTCGGTAGCTGATAGATAATTTATCAGGTACGTGATCTCCATGTAGTCCAAGTTTTCGGTGTATAGACCGATTTGGCATTGATAGTTTTTAAAGTTACTGGCACATGACGTGATCTTTTATATGGATAATTTCACGCGTGTCACCTTGTGTATACTTTTAATTCCTTGTCTTGATTTTGGAATCAATGAAGTGCTCCATATCTCCTTCCAGTGTTTCTCCTGATTCCTTCGAAAAATGTGGAGTTATTATTAAATTATCCATGTAATGCGTTACTATGAAAGTTAATGTTAAGCTTTAACAAGACTAATTATTGTCTTGCATATTGTTAATCCATTTGTATAATTTTGACCTTTAAATTCCTACAATTGTTGGATATATATTATATTATCATTATTATTCTTATTTCTTAACGTTGATAAATAGTCGGGAGAGTGATAATTTTAGGAAAATAGATATCTAGTTCAATGTTACATTGCTACATGTTTGTTTTAAAGTAATGAAGCAATGACATTTGTATTTGTTAATCTAGCAATGGCTACAGGTGGTAGTAGTTTTATCAGTAAACCAGCTAGAGGATGGTTACATCCAGATCATTTAGTAAGTAAGGAAGGAATTAGTTATACAGTGAAGGTATGTTATCTATTATTTTTTTTAAGATATGTAAATAGATTTAAAGTCTCATGAAAAATTCAATATGTATTATAATTACACAGGGTATCTTAAGGATAAAATTTTGCCATGTTCTTTATGCATGTTTTTAAAAATAATATATTTTATTTTTCTTAAAGAATATATAAAAATGGAGCAGTATTCAAATTATTTGATCATTAAAGAAATTTTTTATTATTATTTCTTTTTGCTTGTTGTATTCTAATAACAAGTTGATAAAAGAATATTTTAGAACGGAGCTTGAAGCTTTTAAGGCTTTTTGTTCTACACACACACAGATCAGAAATGTTTGTACTTTAGTGATTGATTCTTATCGTTCTGAATATTAAAATTATCGTTTGTTCTATCTCTTGTTTTGCTGTTTTATTATCATTAGGTAATAAAATTAAATATTTTTCCTGTTATTCGTTATTTTCTATATCTTATTATGTTTTATTTGAAATGTAATTTTTTAAAATATTTAATTTTTAGTACTTGTATAAATTCCTGCCTAAACATGTATGTGTGTGTGTGTGTTGTATAATAATATATGATTATGTAATAATGGATTCAGATATTATCAATGAAATAATATTTGTCAACACAAATTTATTTAGTACTGCAGAGTACGATAAGCTCTTAAATTTATTTCACGAAATTCCCTAAGGTAAAAGCGTCACACCTTAACTATTATAAATGAAAGCAACAAGGGAAGGGCAGCATATAAATGCATAAGAAAATTAATTCGAAAATATCATTAATTCCAGTGAAAAAGATAATCTATTGATTCAATTTATTTACTTCCTTTTATCTAATCTTTGTTTACATTACAGTATATTGGATGTCTTGAAGTAAAAACGTCTATGAAAAGTTTAGATTTTGAAACACGTTCGTGCGTAGCTAAGTAAGTTATCAAACTATTATATTTAAAGTTATAACTTGTTGTAAATGTCGTGGATACTTTCAAATACATGACGAACACAACCTTTTACTTTCTTTTTTAGAGAATGCATAAACAGAGTTTGCGAAGCTGCCGGATTAAAATCTGCTGACAAAAAGAGAAGGGTAGATTTCATAGAAAATTATTTGTTATTTATAGATATAATTATATTTATGCCTATAATTTTTATTAAATTTTTCTCTATTAGGTTGATGAGAAGGTATTAAGAGCTATAGCAAATAAACCTTGTATGGATTATAGCGCTGCTAATGTTACTTTAACCATTAGCAGTTGCAGTTTATCCTTGACTAATATTGATACTGGACACATTATTGCGAAACATGATATGCCACGTATATCGTTTGCTTCAGGCGGTGATACGGTAAAGGGCACACATTGATATATATCGCATTTTATCTTTTGTATATTTTATTTCACTATTTTTGTACATGTATGAAATAAAGCTGCATATAATTTACAGTAAAAATTTACAATATATATTAGTTATAATTTTTGTTTTGAAATTAAAGCTATGTTTTATTATGTAATAGGAAATACTAGATTTTGTTGCATATGTTGCTAAAAATATGCAAGAATGGCGTGCTTGTTATGTGCTTGAATGTACAGGTGGTTTAGCACAAGATGTTATATCCACTATCGGACAAGCATTTGAACTCAGATTTAAAGAATTTCTTACAAAACCAAGTTCCTTGCAGTAAGTTGTAAAAATAAATGCGTTTATAGATCTAAAGTTATAATAGTCTTTGTTATAATTTTGTGTATTTATTTAGCCCTGTATTAAACGGTGTCAGGGAAGTAGACAGGGATTATTACAATGATCTACCAGGGAAAGTACCTCCTGATATTGGCCCACCGCCAGTACCTCCTTTGCCTAATACAGCATCTACACTGCCTAATCTAAAGCATCATCAAAATAATGCATCACGTACTCACGTACAAAATATTACAGTTGATTCATTCCCATCTACTGCAGACAGACATCAGCAGTTGCCAGGTACTATCTTGTAAAATGTTGTTACACGTAGATTGAACTCTAATTTTTATGTATAAATTTGTTTTTATATTTATTCCTCCGTTTTATCTTTCTCGACAGAAACTGGGAATCTAATTGATTTAAACTCAGATAGCATTATATCCCCATCACCGAATTTAGATATAATGTCTGAGCATAATTATGTGAATGACAGTGTCATAGCTGCAAACAGAGACAATCATCGTGATCCAGCATCACTTTTTGATGTTTTTGATATGCGTAAGAGAATTATTGTTTTATCGCAAATCTCTTAACAAAGATTCAAAATTTATAACTATTTTAAAATAATGATCTTTGATTGCTGTGATCTTCATATTTATTTATGTCGTATGATTACATTGCAATCTCAAGTATATTTTCTTATGAAGAGACTTAATGTAATATTAAAATTTTTAAGAATTTTTGCTTATTTATAATTATTTATAATTTATTGTCCTCATATTGAGCTTTTTATTTATAATCACAGAGCCGTTCAGTTCTGCTATATCGGATATGAATAGACTAAGTCCTCGATCACAGAAACAGCGATTAATAGAAGAAGATTGGTTTCACGGACGTATTAGCCGATCTCGAGCAGAATCTATGCTTACTAGAGTAAATATATGTCTATAAAAAAAATATAAAGATCTCTTATCATTTAATATACATTTATTTTTGCTATTTTATTTTTAAGGATGGCGACTTTTTGGTTCGAGAGTCACAAGGTTCTCCTGGCCAGTATGTTCTGACTGGAATGAATAATAATATCCCAAAACATTTATTACTAATTGATCCTGAAGGCGTCGTAAGTATGAAACGAAATAATATTAACAATATTATTAATGAAAAAATTAAAGCGTATATATGATCGGAAAAACATTTTCTAAAACTTTTACCGATTATAAATCTACATGTCTAAATATTTTTCAGCATTTGAATTTTAATAAATAATAGTCATGAAGTATCACAATTTTAATTTACAGGTTCGCACAAAAGATCGCGTATTTGAGAGCGTAAGTCATTTAGTGCATCATCACTGTGCCAATATATTGCCTATCATATCGGCTGATAGTATTTTAGTACTGCATAACCCCATCCTTAGGCGTACAAAGTATTGTTCTTAAATGTAGAACAATGACTAAGGGCGCAGACTTGGCAAAGACTTTCTGAATAGTTATTTTGCATATCTTTGCATGTGAAAAATCTTTGACAAGTCTTGGCTTTTTGTGATATTTTTAAAATCAGTTATACATACTTCGTACAAAAGATATGGTTTGTAGTATCTTTCTATTGTATATGAATAGATGATTTATGAATATCTTTCTGTTTTCTGTGAATCTCCTTATGAAATGTGCCAACTTATATATATTTATATAACCAAAGTAATATAATTTCTATAATTTATCGAAGTTATAAGCACATTCCGATTTTTTGTATAAAATATTACAATCTAATTTGATAACTTTGGATTTATGTAAGATTTGTAATCAGAAAAATTTTATATATAGCTATATATTTTAGATATAGAATATGCTTTTTATATTAAATACATTATTGCAACCCCATCTCTTATGCAAAACTATAATAAATATAATTTCATGCAGTATATTGTGCCATTATATTATTTTATTTCATTAATTTTTAACATTAAATAATTTATAGGCTAAATATTTATTAATTTAGAATTTTAAACTCAATTTTTTTTCTTATAGTTGTGTATTCTTTTTTGTTCAATATATTCAACATTAATTTATTATTTATTGGTGTAGATAATTACTTATGTTTTATAATATTAATAATCTTATAAAATTAATAATAACTTTTAAATATTATAATATTAATAATCTTATAATATTAATATATATAACTTTTAGATATTAGACATTTATATTAATAATTCTATTAAACAT